ACGCTGAACAGCGTTGTTCCTCTCCGACTGCCCTCCGAAAAAAACCCAACAAACAAACAAACAACAACAACAACATACTAACAAACCTGTGGCATGGACGTTGTTTGCTATATGTGTAAACACGAGCTCCCTGTTGAATAAACTGCATTAATCGCCCATACATAAAAGAAAAGATATTAGTTATTGACAGCGTTTTACGGCACTTGCAGCACAATTAGGCCACATAAGTGCCGAAGATTAGGAGTGTTAATTTAAGGACAGCAACAAACACAAATTGAAGGAGAGATAGGGACGGTAGAAGTTTAATTGGAAAGAAAGGTGAAGCGTGCTAACAAATGAGTTACTTCTCGGAATCAAGCCTTGTGGAAATAGATACATCATGCTTATGATATGTGACGTTTTGACAATTTATAGTATGAAATAATAAAGGACATATTATTATACGTAAGGAGTATGGCATCAATAGGAAAGCTACTAATTTGACCCTAGTGTCAATTTTTGGCTAATACCTCCTTTTATGCCAGCACATGTCACCCAAACGCAAACAAATGGAACGTTGATGCTGTTGATGTCGTTGTTACCGTTGTAGTCGATGATGCAGTTTTGGTTTCATTTTCCTTTTTGGCTTGTTTCTGTTGTTATTACAGTTGCTGCTATTTTTTTCATTGCTGATTTAGTTGTCGCTGTTGCGCTGCGGCTGGAGCTGTTCCTATTAATGATATTCTTGTTGCTATTGGGTTGTTGTTTTTCTTTGCTTTTTTTTTGGCTGTCATTTTTTGCTGTTGTGTTTTGTCATTCTGTATTTGCTGCTGCTGGTGGTGGTGTTGGTGGTGTTGGTGGTGGTCGTACTAGTTTCGGTGAACATTTTTGATTTTGCGAATTTCAGAAGTGTGAAATACAATCATTGATTCCTTGACCCTCTATATAGAAACATAAGGCGAGCTAGCAGGATCTCCAGCTGTGTAGCACAGTAAGACTTGTTGTCATATTATTGTCTTCTCGACATGACTGGCTGGTGGTCTGCTGGTGTGGCCTGTTCCTTCTTTTCTATCAAGCATCTATCATCCTTATGTCACCTTCTTCTTTCCGTGTTTGTTACTCCTTTATAACACCTTTAATAATCATCGTAATTTATGTGACCAATTTATTGTGTTGCAAGTGCCTTACAGTCTCTAAAACAAGTATCTCTCTCTCTCTCTCTCTCTCTCTCTCTCTATCTCTCTCTCTCTCTCTCTCTGTCTCTGTCTCTATCTCTCTCTCTCTCTCTCTCT